AGAGCAAGAGATGAGTGTAATAGTGGATGGGTAGGGGCAGATGAAAAGAACAACTGAAGTGTAAGTGGTGAAGTGCCACAGAGGGGGAGAAGATGGAGAATCCTCAGATGCATGCCTACACCCTGCCATGATCAGAGTATGCACTGGATGATTTATTTTGCCGCTCCAATATCGAGACCCTGGAAAAAAAAATCTACATTCCATTAAACTACTGAGGGTTTTATTTTGAAAGGCGAATGTGATTGTGGGTGTGGATGTGTGGGGGTAAAGGAATAGCCATCAGATGTGGCAATCATGCAACTCAAAATGTCTCTCCTTATCTTTTCTCTCTTCGTCTCCTCTTTGATTGCTGTTCTATTTTCCCCTCCTTTCTATAGAAAGTCTAATGAATGCACAGACATAATAAAAAAAATTAATTGCTACCAAATAAGAGAAACTCATGAGAAACTCTTGCAGCCACATTCACCAAGCCTTTGTTTCTGAGGCATACTGGGGCTGTAGTCATGTGATTTAGCAAACTTGCTTACCAGCCTAGAATCGCAGTCTGTCTACCATCTGAAATTTACTCTTTTTAGGCCTGATGTGCACTTTTGTTAATTTTGCATATACATTTGAGAGTGCAAAAACAGGAGAACATATCATAAGCGTGACAAACAGTGAATTGTATTGGATAAGGGTCACGATATTTGCGAGGGGAGGTAGGAGATTTGGAAAATTATGCAAGAAGCAGAGTGAAAGGGAATATCTGACCATTTTATAACAACAAACAATTAAACTTATATTTGAGATTTACTGGACTACTATATTCTTCTCTTAAAAACCTTTTCTAAGTCATTCTAATTTTTTAAGCCCAACTCACCTTGTTAATCCAACTATATCATAAGAATTGTATGAGAAGGATAGCAGACATTTGAATAATTTACTCAATCAGAGCTTAGTTTCAACCAAACTACAGGAGACGTTTTGGAATGTTTTGGCATCCCTGGATTTCGATTTTTTAAAATTCAATTTAATGTTTACACAGGGAACGTCTACACAGAAAACATGGTACGAAAAGAATCTGTGTGTGCGTGCGTGTGTACGTCAACACAGACAGAAAAAATGACAAATTGTTGAAAAGAAGAATGAGAGGAGTAATGATGGAACAATAATGCCACATGTGTACTGTGTGTGTGTGTGTGTGTGTGTGTGTGTGTGTGTGTGTGTGTGTGTGTGTGTGTGTGTGTGTGTGTGTGTGTGTGTGTCTGTGTTTGTGTGTGTGTATAGGTGTGTGTGTGTGTGTGTGTGTGTGTGTGTGTGTGTGGTGATGAATCTCTCATTGTGACAGTGGGGCCGGCAGCAGCGAATGTCCTTCTGGGTGGGACACACACACACACACACACACACACACACACACACACACACACACACACTGAGACGCGCATACACAGATGGAAACGACCATACTAATGGATCACCCCTGTCTGCACGCAATCCGCCACAAATAATGATGAACCACCCCTGCATTAAACTATTTTACACAATGCTCAATTCATTACTCTCTCTCTCTCCCTCTCTTTATTTCCCTCTCTCTCTCTCTCTCTCTCTCTGTCTCTCTGTCTGTCTCTCTCTCTCTCTCTCTCTCTCTCTCTCTCTCTCTCTGCGGGTATAGGTGAGCTAATAAAGGTATGATATTTCTCCTCTACCGGCACAATCATAGTTTTTATCCATTAGTAGGATATTAGGATGGAGAACGAAGGAAAGGTGGGAGGGAGGGGATGGGTTGGAGAGGGAAAAAGAGATGGCTTCAAATTGGTTTAAAAGCATTTCCACTGTAAAAAGTAACAGCATCCCCAGGTAGAGAGTATGAAGGAGCAATTTGCATAGTTTTGCGAAGAGGACCAGGGCCAGCCTCGGGCCTTTCGGGCCCTAGGTGAGCTTTTGATTTGAGGGCCCCCCTACATATTTTCATTAACATTTTATTGTCAAAAAAATGACATCAACTGAAACTAGAAGTGCTTTAATCACTTTTTGGAGTTTGTCCTGTGTGTCTAATGGAGAATTGTTATTGTTTTAATGACAAGAACTGGGAAAGTAAGGCCTTGGGTGAATATACCCCAAATTCTATATAAAGAAGATTAAATAATAAAATTTGTTGAAAATAGTGTCAGTAGTTTATTAAGCTCATTTTAGAGAAACAAACTTCCCTCTTTTAAAATAAAAATTCAAAATTGTTTACATCTATTCTGAACATATTTGTAGTTATGATTCACACATTTTGCCTTAAACTTGTGTGGGCCAAAATCCTATTGAGAGTTTGTGAATCAAGGGAGATACTTTTTTAAATTCATATTTAAAAATGATGATCTACAGCCCCAGCAAAAGGTATACACTTAGATATTGGGATAGAAATTTGAAGTGGCATAAAACACAGTATTGACATTAAAATGAAAGCCAGTGGATGAAAAATTATTGAATGATGACAAGAAAGCACATACAGTGAAATGTTTAAGGAAATACAGTCACTATAACTTTCTTGTTTTAAACCAAATCTGGATTTTCTGTAGACAAGAGGCAATGATTTGATAATAGCTTAGAGAAACCAACCTCTTTTGTCTAAGATATTTTTTCCAGCCTCACTTTGCTCAGTGTGGGAGAGAAGAGAAGAAAGAGTCATTATGGATTTCAATTAAGTGATCCCTGGGCAGAGAGGGATGCGTCAGAGTGGGGGAATTAATGTGCTGCGGACAGATGTTTAATAATAATGGCCGAACTGGTCCTGCCGAGAAACAGACATTCCATCCGCCGCACCCCACTGTGGCTGTAGGAACACACATGCACAGACGAACACACACACAGAAACGCACAGAGACAGGCCCACATACACAGACACTCACACATAATCACTCATACACTGACACACACAATAATGATTCATACACACAAACTGTGCAGAGCAAAGTGTGACAGTCTCACACACACACATTTACCCATACACACTGGTATCACCACTGGCGTGTGTGTCTTTATGACCAGTGCTGGCCACAGCGCATATGGCCCTCATTTAGGAACAATGGGCATGGAGAATGACTGGTTGGATGAGCTTCCTGACTGTGAGAGGTGACTGGAGGCATGTTAAATGACATGCCCCGTATGGAGAGATGGAGCGAGAGACAGAGAGAGCAGGAGCGTGAGAGAGAGGGTATACATGGGTAGTCCTGGAGAAGGAATTATTGCCTCACTGATCAACAAAAATGTTTTGATTGAGAAGGGACAAAGCAAAACAAAAAGTGGAGAGAGCAGAGGAAGAGAGACGAAAGCAGAAGATATCCAGAGAGGTGAAAGGGGAAGAACTTGATGGAAGAGTGTATTACAAGAGAAGAGGGACGTGGAGAAGATGATGGTCTGGCTGGGTCCAGAAATGGGTCATTAGACAGTGTGTAAACAGCATGTCTTTTTATGAAGTGCTCTCACTCTCCTTTCTGTGTCGTTCTCTCACAGATACACTCCTGGTGACACCTAATCAGTGTTGTGGCAGGACGAATGGCTTCCAGCCGTCCTTACAGTCTTGTCAAAAACAACACTTCCCTAAAAATCTCTCTGTCTCTCTCACTCACATACGCTGTTCATACCATCTTGTCACAACAACATTTCTCCGGTAATTACCAGGGTGGCCGCCCTCCTGCCGCCCCTCGATGGATGGGCTGAGCAACCATGGGTTCGCCCCTCCAGCCATAACTCTACCTAGGACGTCTGCCTACTGCTCTTCACCACTGCGGTGGCCCTCAGACAGCAAATTGGCCCAAGAGAAAGACAGAGAGATGGAAAAAGACACTTAAACAAGCACACTGCTTGGCTCACAAAGAAGCAGGAATGCCGGTGCACAGACATGAAAGAACATAGAGACAGATACACACACACTCATTCACTTTCACTATTTGTCATTTGCCTGTCTCTAAGGAGTAATTTATAATACAGACAGTCTTTTCCTCTGACCATTGGACAGACAGATATCTTTTCTCACACAGATACACAAGTGCACGCACAAACACACACACACACACACACACACACACCCTGCTGAGGTGATCATTTTGACAGGTGAATATGGCTGAGGTGGAGTGATGAGGAGGGGATATAAGGGAGGTAGGAAGTGTGGGGAGAAATAAACTGATAACTGTATGATGAAGGGTGATAACGTCAGGAAAGGAGGTAAATGGAAGGAGGGATGGATGGAAGAAGTGAGGCAGCTGGCAGATCAATACCCAGATCCACAATCTGCATCCAGAGAGCAGGCATTTTTAAAAGGTCTTTTCTGGGATATTTTTTTTCTTTTTCCCCATTCCTTTTTATTATTTACACCGTATTTTTGCTTCAGTATAGAAGATAAGGTGGAGTAAAGAAGCAGAAGAAGAAATAAATAAGATGGTATGTGGTGCATTTCATTAAGTCTGTCTGAACTAGTAAGGCCCGATAGTCTGTTCAAAGTTCAGTTTTGGTGTTTATAATTTATTATGGAGACTGGAGACTAGGAAATGGTATATAAGACAAATATTTATGAATAATAAATACTTAGTTTTGCCTCTTTATAATCAAACTGTAAATAAATGTTAACAAAAATGTGTAATGCTATGCTACACACATGGACGCAACAGATAATTGAAATAAAAATTTACAGAAAATGGACAGCTACCTGACGACTGATCTAAATAAAATGCAAACATTAGTTTTTAAAAATAATTACTAATAAAACAAAAATGTTAATTTAGCAAGTTAGCACTCCATGCTGACTGGTTACATAATCTAAGTGGGTATCTTAAACTTACAGATGAATCTAGATCTTACATCTAGATGAAAATCAAATATGAACATTTTCATCAACAGAAGATAGCAGATATTTTGGAAAGTGTATGTTTTGTTACAATGCAGTTAAGTAAGCATTAGTCCTATGTAGGAGAAAATTCCTACTTTCTAGGTACATTGAACGCATCTCCAACACCTTGGGAAGCTGTTGTCACGACAACAGGTAAACTCTGACCGGAGTAGACATGGCGGAGCTGCTGAAAATAAAAAGTGAAGCTGAAGACTTCCAAAGTGAATACTTTTACAGAAACAGGCATGTATCATACGAGAACGTTTTATTCGGATTTGAAAGAATACTGTGGCTGTTGTTAAGCGACTTGGCAGTCAACGCCAAACCATTAGCTAACGTTATACCCATTATATTAGCTAGCTAACGTTGCCGGGAAATGTTTTCGTCATGTTTGTAACGTTACTTAGCTTTATCTGTTATTGTTTTGACGCTACACTTAACGTTTGCATCAAACAGCCGTTGCTCGCTACAAAAACTGTAAATGCAGACAATAGAGACATTTGTCATTTTGTTTTAGCAAAGAAGGCTCTTTAGCCTGTATTTTGGGCAAAAAATTGTAATGTAGCTTTCATGCATTGAGTAATAATGCCATAACTAAGGTAACTAATAAAAAGTTTCAAAACACATGAGACCCACAGCAACATCTGGCTGTGCGCTTCAAAGTACATTACACTAGTGTTGTTTATATGGGATATTAATGGACTTTAATATGCAACATCACAGTGAGAGAATGTAGCTACAGTATATTGTTATTTTTATGTGTCTGTGTGCTTTAGTCAAGCTGAGGAGAAGCGACAGAAGGAAAACCAGGCCGCCACCCAGATTCAGAGCTGGTTCAGAGCCTGCAAGGTGCGGGCTTACTTCAGGTAATGTGTATGTGTGGTGAGTGTGTGTTAGTCCCATTTGAATCTGTAAACCAGAAAAATAGACTTTTGCTACTCCTTCCTAATGCCATAGGCAAAAAAGAATACAAGCCTTAATATTTTATACACCAATTTAAGGTTTGCTTCTTCCTTCAGGGTTGAAAAACATTCAGGCTGGCCTCTTAAGAGTTAATTTCAAGGGAAACCCTGATGCTAGCTCACTCTCATAATTATCCCACTTCTAGAGCTTTGCAAATGGCCTAGAGGAATAAATGTTGCTTGCACTCTGCGCTCCTTTCACACATAGAGAAATGAATGTCTCTATCGCTGTGCTTGTTCCTATACTGTGACCCCAGCACCATTCTGCAGGGTCAGCAGACAAACTTCCAGACAGTAGGTTAATTCAGATTACTTTAGTTAATTGATCAATGCGTTAAGTGGATAATTAGCAACAATTTTAGCTGCCTAAGTGCAACTCCGGGGTTGTGCTATCCCCACTATAAGCATTGATTTTCTGGGCATATGAATGGCCTTTTGGAAATTGATGGCCTCATTGGAGGTAGAGCATCGCAGTGGACTTGCATTTAGAGTATGTTTGAAGATGAATACAAATGTGTGCCGCCGACTAAAGGGGTGAAAGGCTCATCAGACATGATCGAAAAGCCTGGAGGAGCAGAAATGTTCTCTGTGTGTGTGTGTGTGTGTGTGTGTGTGTGTGTGTGTGTGTGCGCGTGCGTGTGTGTCTTTGTGAGAGCGTGTGTTTGTAAGCATAATGTCTCCATGACCTTTTAATTGAAGTCCTTTACAACCTAACATTTGTATTCAGAAAACAAAACCACTTGTTTTTTTTATTGTTTAAAAAAAAGAGAGATCACAGTTTATTACAGCAGTAGTGGTTTAAGGGGATTTTGTGATTTAATGAATTAAAATACATTATCTACATGAATGTAATTCTTTTACCTTTATGCTTTTAGTATTTTTTTATTTGCAGCTCCCCGATCTTTCTAGCAGGTTTTAACTTTCTTGCTTTTTAGGTTTTAGTTTTTTTTGTACATGATAAGTTAAGTTCTGCATAAACAGACTAACTAAAGACAAACAAACACTAGAATAAAAACACAAAAATACTGTACTATCCAAGGTGGTCATATGTTTGTATTTATCAAAGATATAGACAGCATGCAGAAGATTATAGACTGGATCTTTGACAGATTTCTTTTTTTTTTATATGATTTGATATGATATATGATCCACAATTTAATTTCCTACCTTCCATGTGTATCTGAATTTATCTGAAAACTTTTTCCAGTGTTCCTCCATTTCAACTAATACAAAATACACATCCAATCCTCTCTCAAAATGACTTTTTTTACAGCCATCTGCACAAGAAGGCAGTCATTATACAGAAGATATGGCGGGGCTTCACAGCAAGGGCACGTTTCAGACAAATGGTGAAGGTAAGCCAGTGCCTGGAACAGCAATAGATATATTGATTATGTTATGATAGCATGCATTAGAATTCAATTGCTATATTCCTAAGTCCCTGCATCTGACCTTAAGAGATATAATTCACTCATTACACATTGGGAAATTAGCACTTAGGAAATATGATGCAATATGATAAGAAATTCCATCCATATCGCAACTCCTGGGATGTATATAGAGTGTGGAGAGGAATAGAGAGAAGGAAAGAGTAGAGGAGTTTGTGTGCATGGTGTGTGTATATATGTGTATGTGTGTGCTTTAGTAAAACAAGGCCCCACTTTCAGCATATTGCCTCCAACTGCTTCTTAATTGAACAGATTGTTGATACCGGATCCAATACCCAGCGCTCTCACATATAATTTTCCCCTGGATTGAGTTTTGTAAACGTATCACAACAAGCTATTTATCATGCCTGTAAATTGACTGTTTGCTAAAGCATAACTGCCAGCCGCCGTTTGGGAGGCGTTCAAGAAATGGAAAGGGGGGGGTTGGATGGTGGGGGTTGGATTGAGGGGTGTTGAAATAAACGATGAAGGATGTGTCACAACACACATATGGGCTAAAAACAGGCTGTTTGGTCTCATTTGGAAACAGACGAGCACTAATTTGAATCACTCAGAATTGCCACAGTGCACTATTTTGAATTAGCCCTGAGAGATTCTCGTCTTCCCCTCCTCTCTCTCACTGTCTGTCTTTTTTCTCTCTCACTCTTGCGGACCTTATCATGTGTAATGTGACGTTCACCGAGCCTCATCTCAAAACATCAAGCTGAATTTACAACCTCCTTTCAAGTCTTTGTCTTGCTTCCCCTTCCTCTCCTCCCTCTCTTCCCTATCCTTATTAAAAAAGACGTGTTGAGATATGAATCCCTTTTATGGCCGACTCTCCAGTTTGCTCCTGAAATGTGCCCCCAGTGGTCGGCCGGCACGTTTGGTGTGCGGCGGCTTGTCGAGTGTGCCGCTGAATATTCTCTGGCCTTTTGTTTGTCACTTCTGGCAGTGCTGTCATTGATTATGAAATCCAGAGGAGAGCTTTTGGTCGTCATACATCTCCATTAGCTCGCTGCTTGACTACCATAGATTTTCTTGGCCCTTGTCTGCGTTGGTGTATTAAGAGAGTACCGCTGTCCCCTTGATACAAAGTCCTGTTAACTACTCTCTCTTTCTCTTTCTCTTTCTCTCTCTTTCTCCATCCCCCCTTTTTCTCTTGTTCCTCCTGTCTCTCTTGCTTGCCCTCTCTCCTTTTCTGCCCCCTTCCCTCCTCCCTCCCCACTACAGTGGCCCTATCTGTGCTGCCTCTGTGCAATGTATTATGTATAAAGAGCTCTTTATCTTTGACGCCTGCTGTGGACAGATCAGAGGGCTGGGAGACAAGATGTAACGCCATCTTTCCCTTTGTGTTCACAGGCGGCATATTTTATCATGAAGATGAATTTCTACGAGGAGATGGCGGTCAGGGTAAATATCACCACAGTGTCTTGTTTTAGCAAATGGAGTGTCGTGGTGGGGGGACACTCTGTTTGTGTGTGTGTGCTGTGAATGGGAGGCCCCATGAATAAGCAGCCTGTAAGCACTTCATCTAACCACTTTGTTGCTTTTTAACACGTGTTATTGTGTTAACATTCCTGTACAATTTAAATAACATTATTTAGGCCTATTAAAATCAGGTATGTTACACAACAAATTCTTATGAGGCTATCTTGCCATTTAAAAATGACTTAATTATGTCTCAATACATTATATTGGTCCATGTGCACTGACAACATTATCCACTTTTATATCATAAACCTTATTTTACTTATACACAGTGCTTGGTAACAAGCCTTTTGAACAAAAGTACAGTCTGGCTGTTTTATCCTTTATATCACTATCTGGCAACATTTGTTTAATTTTTGTATGTCTCCTCAGTGCTCATGCCCATCACATGTTCCCCTCAGCAGCTACTACTGTTCAACCCATAAATCATAACACTGTGGCTGTGACTGATGGTTTGGCACTTTTACACAAGGATATTGCCCAGAAACCTTATATTTTTACAATTCCATATAACCTACTCTTTTGGCTAACAGTTTCATTCTGCCTAAACCATTAAAGGGTTTTATAGGCCAACAAAAAAACCCGCTAGTGTTTATTGAAGAGGGTGTGTCGCTGTTCAGCTGGACAGAGATGGTTGGAATATTTTCATATTGGTGCAAAAGCCTGGAAATTGGGGGGAAGTTTTACACTTAATAGAAACCCAAACAAATAAAGCTGACCACCCTGTTGTTTCAATAAATGTCACATAATAGGAGAGACGTAGATCCAGGAATAGTTTTTGACCCAGCCGTTCTAGGTCACAGGGCGAAAGGTTAGTCACCATGTAGAGCAGAGCAGAAGCTTCTGAAGTTAGAGAAAAGAGGTATTTATTACCCATATAAAATAACCACAGTTTTCCTAAAGGAAGAAATAGGAATTTTATTGGAAAATTAAATATATTTGAATAGGGCAGCAAAGTGGCCCAGTAGTTTGCAATTCAACAAGGTACTGAGTTTGAACCCCACAAGGGCCAAATTAGCCTTTTCTGTGCAGCGAGTGCATTTTATTCTGTGTGTTTGTCTCGGTTTTCTCTGGCTGCTCCAGTTTTCACTCACCACAAAAGACATGCATGAAAGTGTTAGGAACAGTCCTGCCACTGCCCTTGACCAAGGCTTTGGCCTCAGAAGTCAAGTTGGTGCCTGAGCGCTACACTGCCCACTGCTCCTAAAGAGTTACCATGGTGCATATGCAGAGACACATTTTGATTAAATGTAACTTAATACTTCAAA